ATAGCTTTACAGAGACAAAAAACTTGCTGTAGGTAGCTCTAAAAATTATATGTGCAATAGGCTATAGATCATAAGCAAGCGTTGTCCTGGAGCAACACAAATTTCCTTCAAAATCCTTCCAGAGCAACTTCAGCATTTTCATTTACTCTAATATCTATGGATAGATATGTAAATAGAATAATTACGGTCCCAACTAGCATTTTTCGTTGCTATGCCCCGTTTCCAATCCCTTTCATTTACTCTAATATCTATGTGCTCACACATCTAATGGTTTATTATTGAAATTGCATAATTAGAAAAAAAGAAAGAAAGAGCATTATTTAATAAACTACCAGTGAGAGATTGTACATTTTAACAAGTAAAAAGTAAGAAAAATCTGCAAAATAATAATGATAAATAAATAAATAAATAAATAAATAATAATAATAATAATATTTTGTAGCATGAAAACTAAAAATTATTGCAGCAACTGAAAGCCTAAAACTAAATCTATTCAGCAACTCTAATCTACTTATACAGCAGTTTTTCAGTTACAGCAGAGAATATCACAGATGATCCGCCTACACTTGTTGTTGTTGTTATTGTTGTTTTCATTGTTAACGTTGCCTTCAAGAAGTGGTTGGCCTCTTCTCCTCCTACAGCAAATGCTGATAATTCTAATGCAGACACGAGTGATAAAATAAACATAGAGGAACAGGATCAAAACCAATGCAGCCACTGCAACTTGACCAGAGTTCATCATACCTAATAAAATATTTATTAATAATGCAAAACAGCAAGTTAGCATTAACTAGATCTATGCTTACTTATGCCTTTAGGAGTACAAACTCCCATCTTATTAGCAGGTTTGGAAGTACCAATGTCATGTTCTGTATAATGTAATCATAAAAATCTAATTCTATTACTACTTGTAAACTCACGGCAAGTCACACTTAAAATATAGTCGCATGAGTCAATATTATCATCACAGCTTGCACAATCTTTCACGCATTTCTTGAAATCACTACCACCACAATCAGTTTCTTGCATTGATGCAAAAACTGTGTTTGAGCTACATGATCAAGTGAATGAAATTGATACTAGTAATAGCTAAACTCACAATTCTGTATCATAGTCATATTTAGAAAGTGAATTATAACCGAGCTGGTTACACACAGTAAGAGCAAAATTGTCAGAGTCAGAGTCTGAACAAACCACTCCCCACTTTCCATGACAGTATACTTCAACTATACCTTGACCTGTATTAGTGTTGTTGTAGTTCCTTGGTACTAGAACTAAATCAATTCTAGTACTGCCTTTTTTTCATAGTTCTAGTTCCAAGAACTAGAACTAGTACTATTTTTACAACCAATGTAAGAACCAGAACTAAACTAGAACTAGCTTATACAAGACTTGTAGTACTAGAACTAAACTGGAACTAAACTTTGCCAGAGTCTCAGTACTAGACACAAAGTACTATACTTTATACAAAGTACTATGGTACCTCTATTGTATTTAAAGGGTACCTTTATGGTACCGAACTATGAAACCTGTATCGTATTGTAGGGTAGGCATGTC